GGATTGCATAACAAATTAAGTTGACGATGAATTCATTCCATTTGAACATATGAATTGGACTCGTAGTAATAATTAAAGAAAAAGATACCAACACAATATGAACTATAAAAAACACAAAAACGTCATAATCAACATAATTTTGATAAAAAATTTCATATGAACACTTATGAACACACACAATTCATTAGATGCCTTGATTCATGTCCGTACTAGGACATATATGAACACAACTGAGCGTATATGAACACTAGTTGCAGTCTATGGCAGGTAGGGGTGCTCATGGGTTGGGTTGATCGAGTTGAAGACATTTGAACAACCCAACCCAAAGCTTGCGGTTTGAAAAACCTTAACCCAACCAACCCAAACCGTACGGGTTGATCGGGTTAGTCGGGTTGATACTTGTTATATTAAAATATTTTTCTAACCTTGAATATGTTATTTCTTTACTCATAATTTCTTATTCATCATCAACCATCGGATACAACTCATCCATACTTCTTACATATATCACATCCAATTAATTTTCTCAATTTACATATATATGTTTCACAGTTACTGAACATATACACGAATGAATTATATAGAGATGGAGAATAGATTGAAAATATGTATATATGAAGAGCATACGTGACAGTGTAATTGTCTAATGTATATATTAATATAAACTCAACAATCATATTAAATCCAAGAAATAAAAGGATATCGGGTTCATCGGGTTGGGTTGAGTTCAAATAATAGTAACTCAATATCAACCCAATACTTACGATTTGAAAATTTTAAAATTCGATTAGACATCGGGTTCATTCATGTTGAGGTTGGGTTGGGTTGGGTTGATCGGGTTAGTCGGGTTGGTCGGGTTTTTGAGCACCCCTAATGGCAGGTCAAACATTACAAGCAGCTGATGGAGCCGAATGGTTATCAGAATTGGATTGCATAACAAATTAAGTTGACGATGAACTCATTCAATTTAAACATATGAATTGGGCTCGTAGTAATAATTAAAGAAAAAGTTACCAACATAATATGAACTATAAAAAACACAAAAATGTCATAATCAACATAATTTCGATTAAAACGAATACAATAACATATTAATCCATTATCAATACAAACGCTTTGATTATTGTCTTCACTTCCAGAACTTGAAGTCCCGTTGTCATCGTAAACCATTTTAACCTTCCCATTGTTGTCGAGTTATTTTCCAATGGGTTTATCCATATTAGCTTGAACAATATCGAAAATTTTACTATTGGGTCTCCTTTAACAATCACAAATTCAAGAGTCACCACTGTACCCCTTTCCACCCTCATGCACCACATCATCAACGCCATCCAAATCTAACATCATCAACCACCCCCACATCCACCCCACTACAACCACTACCACCAATCCCCACCCACTAACCCAATCTAATTCCACCACCCACTACTACCACCTTCAACCATGTCATGGTCACCCTACTCACCTCATCATCTACCACCCTCGTCTACCCCTAATTCACACCTAACTCTTGACTCCTGCCCCACCTCAATCCACCACCATACCTTACCTCTTACCACTATCAACCACCACCCCAACCTGGCCATTTTACCACCCCATCTAATTCCACCACCAACAACCACCCCACCACCATCATCCCTAACCATGTCCACCACCACCTATTCATTCCCACCCCCAAGAATCACCACCCTACCATACCCGTTTCCACCCTTACCTACCACACCACTAGCCCATCTAAATCCACCATCATCAACCACCACCCCCGCTCCACCCAAACCACTACCCACCAATCCCTACACACTAAACCCATCTAATTCCACAATCATGTCTATCGCCCCTAACCCGACACCACTCACCACCCGACCCGAGCTTACCCCCACCTTATCATCTACCATCCTTATCTACCCCTACTTGAAATCAAATGAACCTTTGCAACAACCTTCACAACGAGTTTGTTGTGAAGGTTTGTAAATTGGTATAAGTTAGAGCATTTGTCATGGAAAATCGAAGCCTTCAAGAAATACTATCCATATGAAGTTTCATTGCACTTGAGGACCCTAATTTTGGTACATATAAATTTATATACATGCATATTCATGATCGATCATGTTTTTTTTATGATAATCTATTTTATAGATTGTGATCTTTTTATAAAAATACCATTAATTCAAATAATGAATGATATATAAACGGTAAATTGGTCCCATATGAAATCAATGGAACTTTCACAATAACCTTTACAATTAGTCTGTTGTGAAGGTTTGTAAACTGTTATTGAAAAGTTAAAGCATTTATTGTGGAAAATGTAAACCTTTTAAGAAAGAATATTCATATGAGGTTTTGTTGCACTTAAGTACCCTAATTTATGGTATTTATGCATCTATACATACACATATTCATGATGAATCATGTGTTTTTTGATAATTTATTTTATGGTTTGTAACATTGGTATAAAAACACTATTAAGTCAAATAATGAACAATATATAAATGGTAAATTGGTCCCTACGTGAAATTAAAAAAAACCTTCATAATAACCTTTAGAGTTAGTTTGTTGTGAAGGTTTGTAAATTAGTATTGAAAAGTTGTAGCATTTGTCATGGAACATCGGAGGCTTTAGGAAAGACTATCTATATGAAGTTTCATTGCACTTGACTACCCTAATTCATGCTATATCTGCATCTATACATATACATATGCATGATGGAGCATGTTCTTTATGATAATCTATTTATTGGGTTTTGATCTTGGTATACAAGTACCATTAATACATATAAGGAATAATATATAAATCATAAATTGGTCTTACATGAAACCAAATGAACATTTACAATAACTTTCACAGTCGGTTTGTTGTGAAGGTTAGTAAATTGGTATTAAAAGGTTGAAATATTTGTCATGGAAAACCAAAAACTTCAGGAAAGACTATGCATATCAAGTTTCATTGTACTTGACTACCCTAATTATAGGTATATATGCATCTATACATGCACATATTCATGATGAATCATGTTTTTATGATGATCTATTTTATAAGTCGTGACCTTAGTATAAAAATATCATTAAGTCAAATAAGGAATAATATATAAATGGTGAATTGGTTCCACGTGAAATCAACAAAACCTTCACAATAACCTTTCACATCTAGTTTCTTATGAAGGCTTGTAAATTTTTACTAAAAAGGTAGGATGGAGTGGTAAGTGGTGTCGAGTTAAGATGGTAAGGGTGGTATGATGGTCTAGGAATGAGGGTAGGGTGGTTGCTGGAGGGTGGTGGTGCTTAAGGTTAAGGGGTGGGAGAGTTGGGGTGGTTTGGTTAGGAATATAATGGGGGTGGTGGTGCTTGGGTAGGGGAATAGTAGGGTAAGGTAAGATAGGGTGGGGGCCGAAGGGTGATGAGATGGGGAGAAGGGGTGGTGGTGGACATTGTTGAGGATGGTAATGTGTAAGGTAGGGGTAGGCTGGGGGATAAGATATATGGGGTGGGATTAGAGTAAGGTGGTATTGCTTAGGGGTGGTGTTGGATGGGGGAAGAGTAGGGTTTGGGTGGGGTGAGATAGTGTTAGTGAAGTGGGATGTATGCAAGTTAGGTGGTGGTGGACATGGTTGGGGTGATGGTGGTGGGTGGGGTGGTTGATGGTAGTGGAATTGGATGAGGTTGGTAGGTGGGGGTAGTAACGTGGTCACGGGTTGGTGGTGGTAGTTGCGATGGATCTTGGTTGTGGTTGGGTAAGTGGGTTTGGGGTAGACATGGTTGAGGATAGGGGTAGTAGGGAAAATGTGGTGTAGGGGGATGGTATAGCTAGCAGGGGTGGGCATGGTGGTGGACATGGTTAAGGTAGGTAGGGTAGGGGCATGATATAGGTGGGTCGGGTTAGGGCCAAGAGGGGTATGGCCTGGGAGGGGAAAGGGGTAGGGTAAGGTAGGGTGGTGCTTAGGGGTGATGTTAGGTGGGTGTGGGGGTGGGGGTCGGGGTAACACTATGAAGTCAAATAATGAGGCTGGTTAGTGGGGTCGAGTTAGGGTGGTTGATGGTGGTTGTGGTATGTGCTTGTAGGGGTGGGGTAGTCGTTTGGATATGAGGGTAGGGTGGTGGTGCCTGGGGGTAAGGTAGGAAGGTTAGGGTGGGGGGTGCTTGGGTGGGGGACTAGTAGGGTAGGATGTGGTGGGGTAGAAGGGCGGTGGAATGAGGATCAAGGGTGGTGGTATGTAGGGTCAGTGTTCAAAAAGACGTGTCTCCGCGGTTACGAAATGACCCATAGCGTTTCTGTAAGGCATGGCTCATGCCATGGTTTCTTGAGGCACACCATAGCGCGCTGCGTCTTTAACACGTGATTTTTTCCATAAAAATCATTTATTTTATTTTAATGTTTTTGTTTTTTATCTTTTGTGTTTTTACACTTTTAACTTTAGATTTTACTTTTTTTTATAGATCTAACTAATCACATCACTCACAGTTTCCCAAATTTATAAATATTACAGATTCACGGTTAAAATAAAGCTATAAAATTACCTTTCTAAGTTTTATTTTAAATATTTAACCGAAAACCTTTTTATAATAATAATTTATATGATTTTTTTCCTTCTAATATGAATGTACAATTTTCTATTATCATTATCTGATTAGATAATATATAGAAAACATATATCTATAATCTAATTCTATATATGACTTACAAATTTGCCGCCTTACGTCATGCCTTGAAAAATGTCGCGTCCTTGTCGTGGCATGTAAGGATTGAGGTTTGACCTCGTTGCTACGCCTTGTCTCACGCCCTTTTGAACCTTGTGTAGGGTAAGGGTAGGCTAGGTGTCCTAGAGAGGCCGGATGAGGTAAGGACAGGGGGTAGGATGTTGGTGTTAGGTGGGGGCTGGAGTAAGGTGGGCACTGGTAGGGGTGGGCGAGGTGGTGACATGGGGTAGCTTGAGGTGTCGAGTTAGTGGTAGACATGGTTTAGGGTGGGTTGGTGGTAGGTGGGGTGGTTGATGGTGGCGGAATTGGATGAGGTTGGTGGATGGTGGTTGTAATGTGATTGAGGGTTGGTTGGTGGTGGTTGCAATTAGTGATGTACAAAGTGGTAGGGGTGGTGGTGTGGGTGGAGGCATTGGGTTGGGTAGTAGTGGTGTTGGTGCTTGGGGGAGATGGGGGTGTGAGAGTGATGGGGATAAAAGCGGGGATGGTGGACATGGTTGGGGGGTGGTGGGTGGGTTTGGGCAGGAGGGAGAGGCATGGCAGGAGGGGTGTGGTGGGGAGGGGTATTGGTTAGGCTGTTGTTGGGTGGGATGGGAGTGGGTTGTGGGATGCGGTGGCGATGGCAATGGTGGGTGATAAGATGGGGTACGATGGGGATGGTGGGTGATGAAATGAGGTCGTGAGTAGTGTCGGGTTAGATGGTGGTGGACATGGTTAGGGGTGGTGGTTGAGGGTAGTGGATTTGTATGAGGTTGATGGGTGAGGGTGGTAACGTGGGTGAAGGTTGGCAGGTGGTGGTTGTTGGTTGTGATGGGTTGTGGTATGGGGCAGAGGAGGGGGATTGGTTAGTTTGGTGTTGGGGGTGGGAGTAGGTTGTGGGGTGGGGTGGGAGTAGGTTGTGGGTTCAGGTGGGTTGTGGTGGGGATGGTGTTTGATGAGGTGAGGTAAGGTGGGATCGTGATTCGTATCGGGTTGGATGGTGGTGGACGTGGTTGGGGGTGGTGGTGGGTGTGGTGGTTAATAGTAGTGGAATTGGATGAGGTTGATGGTTGGGGTGGTAACGTGGGCGGGGGTTGGTAGGTAGTGGTTGAGGTGGGTGGTGGTAGGGGTCAGGCGGTGGTTTGGATAAAGAGGCCTAGTTGATGTTGGTGAGTAGTAGTTATTAGTGGTGGTGGGAGGGTTGGGGATAGAGTGATTGACCTTGGGGGTGGGGGTGCATAGGATGGTTGAGAGGTAGGAGGTGGTGGTTCTTGAGTAAGGTGGCGCGAGAGGGCGGTGGGCATGGAGCGGGGGTGGTGGACATGGTTTGAGGGATGGTGGGTGGGTATGGGGCAGGGTATGGTAGTGTTGGATGAGGCCAAGACTAGAGTAGGTAGGGTTGGGATATCGTGTTAGGTGGTGGTGGTCATGGTTGGGGGTGGTGGTGGTAGGGTGGTTGATGGTGGTGGAAATAAATGAGGTGGTAAGGTAGGTGAGGGTTGGTAGGTCATGGTTGCAATGTGTGGTGGGATGATAAGGGGTATGGGCGGTGGTTTGTGTGGTTGTTGGTGGGCATAGTGCTTGAGGTTGGTGGTGGGAGGGTTGGGGGTAGGGTAGGGATGGTGGTTCTTGGGTGGCATGGTGGTGCGATGGTAGGATAATATAAATCACATTTGACATAAAAAGTGAAGATTAGTGTGATCAAGGAGATCTAATTGTCTGGAGGTGGTCTCACGAGTCTCATAGAAAAGGAACGGTCTCACATGATCCCAAGTCTATATATATAGAGAGTGGGATGATCTTTTGTTTACCAGAAAAATAGTGTTAGCTATTGAACCTGTCGGACCAATCAAAATCATTCTCTAACCATTGTTATTTCACATGTCAGAGTTAATAGCTAAAGGTACTTAAGTAATTTTCATTTTGTAAGTTATTATTATTGTATTAAATGGGTTGTTACAAAAAAAGTAAAAAAAAATACATGATCTTAGGTATAATTATATCATCTCTTTCAAGTTTCTCAATGATTATGTTGAATTTAATATACTTGACATGGCTAATTGATACAAGATTTTATTATGTTCATAAGTTAACACTTTTCACCGTTGAACAACTGACATGGGGTCACAAAATATAAGCCAAAAGTTCATTAGTGAACAATGTCCAAAATTCAGCGACTCATGTTACTTATCAAATATATGTTCATTAGTAAACTACTACAACGTTAATAAGTAAACACGTAAAATGTGATCTATTTTCTTAAACTAACAATATTTTGTTCATCAATAGTTTGAAGGATTGAAACTAATGTCTTCATAATAAACAAATGTGAGCATAATCTGTTGTTCATAGCAGTGAAAGAGAATTTTGAACATATGATGGTGTCATAATAAAAAATCATGTATTAATAAACATTGTTCATAGGAAAATTGCACAAAAATGAAACCAACTTTAATCATATTTCTATTTTGGGGAACAAATTTTTAAAATTATCATTTAAGGGTCTAAAACAAAGTTTACGTTTATTGAAGGTTCTCATTGAGCGTTTTAATAGGTAACCAGTCACTTTAATATGATGTGATAAATCATAAACTAAAAAAATACTTACCTAAAAGTGCTTGAGTTATATATTCTGTGGAACCACGTTCTTATGTCATAATTAATTTTATAAAAAAAATACTACATCTTAAAATAACAAAAAGTAAATAATAACAAACCCACTCCCATATCTTCTCTTTTTTCTCTCCTACCATCTCTTTCTCTTTCGGGACTGAACGAACACGAAGAAGAGAACCCATATTGGGTTTCTGAATGTATTATGTGAGGAAGACGATGTTTTTTTTTGGGGGGGGAGGTTTACCGTTTATGCCGGAGAGGCTGGGGTTTAGGCGGAAATCACGGATGCCGTAGATGTGTCTACTGTGAAATTTGATTTCCAATGTGAGATTTTAGGGATTAAATAATTCTTGGCGTGTCATAATTATTGATGGCATGTCATAATTTTAGATATTTTTTGCAAGTTTAAATATAATGTGGAATTTTACTTGGAAAAATACTTAAGCCACATAATCATTAGCAGGTTAATAGGTCAATGAGACCCTTAAATAAATGCAAACTTTGTTTCAGACCCTCAAATGATGATTTTAGAAGTTCGTCGCCTAAAATAGAAATATGATCAAAGTTGGTTCCATTTTTTTGCAATTTTCCATTGTTCTTCATAAGCAACACCATGAACACATAACTGAACATTGTTCATCACTGAAGAATGATACAAAATTCAAAGATATGTTCATAAACACGAACATTGTTTATAAGTGAACCAGATTAGTCAAAGACCTTCCAAACCTAGTGGTAAAGGCTTGGACATGGCATAGTCATGAACCCGAGTTCGAGACCTGGGAGGGGAGTGTTGGCGACATTTAAGTGGGGCCATGTTTAGCCTCCAAATTTGCCGGGGATTAGTCGGACTTTGGCCCGGACACCCTTACACAAAAAAAAAAGTGAACCAGATTAGAAAACTCGTGGGTTCATATATAAAAAATGAATGTGTCCATAAGCGAGAATGAACTATATTAAATGTTGTTCATAAGTGAACCTGTAATGAACACTTTAGACACCTTTTATACAATAACAGAATCTGGATTATTTTTAAAATATAATCATCGAACATGAACGCAGTGATGAAGGAGTAATTACTGGGAAACAAACTTGATTCCTTAAAGAACTCAAATCTTTTCCAAAAATATCCATGTTCACTATGGTTCACTTATATTTAATACGTATCATAGATGAAATATTACAAAAAAGCCACCAGTGAATTTAATTCGTAGATCACAAATATTAAAGGCTAAGATTGGTTCACATGTTAACACCAATTTTTTTGGTTAACAATAGAATGAACCCCTATATATGATACAAAAATTTGTCGCTATAAGTCGCGTCTTGAAAAACATCATGTGACTCTTAAAGTTTGGTTTCGTCGTTACGTCACGGTTCACACCATTTAGAACTTTGTATATAATTATTAACTTCAAAGCCTCATGGGATTAATTAATGTTTCGGAACATGTAGGTTAACATTTAAAGTATTAACTGTTTGGAAAGTGATTTTTCTAATTGTTATAACTTAAAGTTTTAACAATTACAATTTTTAATTTTTGAACAAATAGATTATGCTTCTATTAACTTGAAGTCATAACACCTTTATTTATTTTACAGGAATGTTTTCTTTGTCACTTTATCTATAATTTCTTAAAAATCAGAATTTTTCAAACACTAAAACGAGTGATTATCTGATTATGAAAACTTCAAATAGAAGAAAACACATCCAAACACCATCTCTTGTAACCCGTTTTATAATAGTTGATTATACGTTGTTGATTGTTTAGTATCACATAATCTCTTTCAAAACGCACGTCTAACTACCCTTGATGTGTCATGTATTAAATTCTATCATAAATTTAACTCGGATTTTTAATTGTTAAGTTATGTTTAACTTGGTATGTCATGTAAGAAAATTCTGTTATAAATTGGTGTTTTTGAACAAACATCTCAAATAAAAAAAAATTATTTTTTCAATTAAAGATTTTTTTTTACATTTTTATAACTTGTTTTATTTTTTGTTAAAAAAGTTAAAGTATATATATATATTCTGTTAATTGCTTCAAAAACATAATACGTTCACGAAAATAGAGCTTTTAAAAGGAGATTTTTCAAACTAAAAAACAAAACAAAATACATCTTCATTTCATGTTATTTGCCCTAAATTGAAAATGTACTAAAATTATCAAAATTTATATTTTCATGATAAAAAACGAGATGTATTTACTAATAATTGTAATACATCAAACTACAACGATAATCAATAAGAAGTTAGTTGACTTCATCGTTTGAACACGACATACTTTGAAACATTGCATACCCTTTATAAACAAGCTTCAACTTCTACATGATACAATTTGTGTTTGCAACTCGTTTATGTTTTTGTCCAACAATTGACGTTGACGAGTTGATCGGTGACATGTTAATTAGACCCTATTGCTAAATAGATTATTAACTTAATTTTAGGCCATGGGACATCAAATAATAAAACGTCAAAAAAGAAACAAGACCTAATGAATAACTCTGTAAAGTCTATTTTTAAAGGTTCAATTATGATATTCTTATTGGTCGTAATCGCTCAAAAAACAATCTTTTTGATACATATTGTTGATGTCCCTTTCAATTGTTTAAATTGGTAACTTTAATTTATGATCCACACTGTTTTGTTTGATAAAAAAAATAAACATATTTATTAAACTATAAAGACAAGTTAAAATAAGATTTGGATGATAATAATATAAAGAGAGAGATGGATTTGGTACCTATGTTTTGATGTTTTTTTTTATTAGTCTCTATATGGTATGTTGATTATGAATTTGGCGATTTAATTGTTATAAACATAGTCTCTTTAATTAACATCGTCAAAATAAATACGTTAACTCATTTAAATCAAGGACTATTTTACTATTTTTTTCTAATTTTTTTGTTTTTATCCTATAAAAATACAAACAATATATAGAGAGAGAGGGACGCGTACACATGCGCACACACACACATATATATCAATAAGGATATCAAAATAAATAAAATCAGATATCGTTTTATAATTTGATTTGT